ACATTTAAGCCTTCACCACTATCTCCAATCTTCAAATCTTTCGAATTTAAAAATTATTTGGATTTCACCTTCGTCTGGACTTCATCCAAAGTAATAGTACCTTCCTTACCATAAAGAAGGGCATCCTTAAAGTGCTCAAAGAATCTGGGTAATGATCTCAACAGGAGCAAAGTCCTGTCCTCATCATCAATCTTCACTTCAATATTCTCAAGATCATTGATAATCTTGTGAAATTCAATGAGTTGCTCAACTATGGATTTCTTCTCCATCATTCAAAATGAGTAGAGTTATTGTTTCAGATACAACCTGTGAGCCAAAGACTTTTTCATATACAATAATTCAAGTTTTGTCCACATAGCAACCGCAATTTGCTCCCTGGCGACTTCTCTTAAAACTTTATCCCCGAGGCACAAGATAATGGCACTCCTGGACTTATCCACCATCTCGGTCTTCTGTACCTGTGTAAGCCCTGTGGCATCAATGTTCCACTCTTCAAAGCATCGATACACTTCTCTTGAATTAAAATCGTTTGCTTCTTAATTTTCCATAACCCGAAGTCGTTGTTACCGGAAAATTTCTCGATCGGCCATCTATAACCATGGTGCTCACTTGTCAATAATATCTCTTTGCTCCACGCTCACCACACCACTTGTTGTGAATCTTGTTGTGAAGTACAACAAAATTCAATATCAATTTGTGAGGCAAAGAACAATAGCAACCAAAATAAATGGTCTTCAGCAATAATAATTCGTACACAGATAATATAACAGAATAAGGCAAGAAAAAACCGAAGGTTTGTTTACCCAGTTCGATCAAACGATCTACTCTAGGGGAGAGAGCAACTCTCTAATTCACTATACCCAGAAATTTGTTACAAGAGATTAAGATGAGTTACAAGAAAATAGCCTTCGCCTTCAGGTTCCCAAGAACAACCCTGAAGGCACCCAAGAACAACTCTATTTTCTACCCAAGTGTTTCTCTACCTCTCCAACTCTCAATATATGAATCACTCAAACTCAAGGTGTAATCCAATGTTTTCTTTGTGCGTAGTTAAAACCCTATGCTATACCTTTAAACCCTTGGTCTCCCTTGTTGGTGAAAACTCTAAGATTGTCACACACCAAACATATAAAAGATACATATTTATAATAGCAAATACCCAACAAATAAAGCCCAAAATCACATGGATCCATGGACCGAATCGAAAAAAGCCCGAAAACTCGAAAACACTATTCAACGTACGAACAACAATATTCACCGCACGAACATCAATATTCACCGCACAGACGTCACTATTCATCTATACGGATATCACTATTCGTCGTACATACGACACTATTCACCGTTCGATTTTTTATTTCTCGACTTTTTGTCATATTCTCGCGGTAAATGTAATCTCCAAAATATATTTTCTTTCTCTTCATCAACAAAGGTTTTAAGGCACATTTACAACAAAGTGTTATATATCTTGAAAAAAACAAAACTGGATGACTTTTCGCCACGGTTGAAATTCCAACAGTGGTAAAAAATGGCTTATAAATAAAAAATAAAATTATAGGTGCTCGGATTCGAATCCATGACCCTTGGTTACTTTTTTACCATGGTTGAAAGTTCCAACCGTTGTGAAAAGTGACTTAAAAAAAACTGTAGGTGGTAGAATTCAAACTCATGACTAAACGTTACTTCTCACCACAGTTGGAAGTTGCAACTGTGGTGAAAAGTGGCTTAAAATTGAAAATAAAAGGGTGAGTAGATTATACCACGATGGATACTTTGGACGAGGTAAAATGGTGTTACAAGAGATATTTTTTTGTAGCAGTTTGTGTTCCAGTTGATCTCAAGCCTGAGCCACTCCCGTATGAGGTATTGTTCACTTTGGGTGTGAAAAATTTTATGATTTTTTTATTTAGAAAAGGAGTCTCGTCAAGTTGAGGTGTATGAGTGTTGTGTATAAAATGCCTTTAGCCTCGATTCCCAAGCAATGTGGGGCTATTTTGACCAGTATGATGGTAAAAGCTAAAATAGTATCTAATGTCTCTTGATCCACCCATGACGATTAATATTCATTTGCAGAATCTAGGCTAATGTGGTGGCCACTTCAATCCATTTGTTGCTTCACTGTCAATAAACAAAATAAAATGGTTGTTAATATAAGCATGTGATAAAGACTCTAATCGCAACATTACTTTGTTGTCATCAAGGTCACAACCAAAAGCACAGTGTTGTGCTTCAATGTCAGTTTGTGCTTTTTGTTTATGTTTGAAATCACATACATTCTCTGGATTTGCTAAGGGGAATTTTGGAAAAGCAAAACCACTTTCAATTTCCCTAAAATTAAGGCCGAGAGTACCCACTCCATCTTTAGTAATAACATCATTTTTCGAGTTTCCCATGATAATCACCCTAAGAATCCCAACAAAGAACAATTAAACATTGAAAAAAGGGATAAAGTTGAGTTGCATGAGCATCCTTAAGATCTTGCGAGTAAAAGAATAAAAAAAGGAGATTAAATTCCCTTTATATCCTTTATATATTTGTGATAAACGACCCTACGATCAACAATTGAAGATCGAGGAAGATGCATCATCCCCGCCAATGATTCTAATTTGACCTTGATCCCCATAACATTGAGTACTTAAAAAAAAACCACACATGCCTCAAAATCTAGGGCCACGTAGGGAGCCATAGTTGCGAAACGTTTAGGCTATACGACATTCATTTATTACGCGTGTTCTTAAGGCCAACTTCCCCCACTTTGCACATCTCTAACCACAAAATGAAGATTTACTTGACAGTCGTCGGACTGTCCATGGTGGCAGTCAAAAGGATCGAGCCCAACGACTCAATAAGGCCGGTCCAGTTTGAGGTGTTCAATCAAGAAACTCTCTAGACAAAATATGAACAAGTGGACTCTCATTATAAGGTGGCACACCAGATTCAACCTATCTACTTAGCACTGACCGTCAAATATAATCATAGAGACACACACATCTCACGCTGAGACGAGCGAAGACAATTTTAACTGTTTTTTATTTATAAGCCCCTGTATGCGCCATAAATAAGTATTCACTCATTCACTCTTATAAAGCTACATCTATCCCATATCACTGACTTGGATGTTGGAGTGTTAATTTAATAGGTAAACGATAATCCATTGCATTAGAGACTTGTCTCACCGCATCAAAAAAATTTCTTCTCAATCTTTTATTCCATCCCTATATAATATTTATACAAATATTAAAATAAAATATTATTAAATTTTATAATCTAAGAATTAATATTAAATATAATAAATAAATATGTTTATTTTAAAAAATTAAAATATTTTGTAATCAAGATGCAAATTTTTAAACAAGCGTTCAAAGTAAATATAAGAGTTTAATTGGTATGCATTGACAATGTAAAATAATTTTTGTCATCTAATAGAATATATCAATCTGTCATGTCATATTATTAACTTAAAATTTATAGTATGATGTGACGGGATGCATGAGGGTGATTAATTGACAATATAAAATTATTTTACACTGTTAGTGTATATCAATTAAATTCTAAATATAAATATTCTATATCTCATTATATTTTAATTATTGAACAAATTATATATATATATATATATATATATATATATATATATATATATATATATATATATAGTTAATGAAAATAATATACTTAATAATTTAAAAAAGTAATTATTAACTTAATTTTAGTGTTTAAGGGTGTGTTTGGTTCGGGGTAGATGGAGGGGAGGGGAGGGGAGGGGAGGGGAAATTTTTAATTAAATATGTTTGGTTCAAATTTTAGGAGGGGAGGGGAGGGGAGGGGAGGGGAGCAAAATCCCTCCAAAACACACTTTTTGGTTCCCTCCGAATTGGGGGGATTTGGAGGGGAGGGGAGGGAATATGAGTTTTAATATTTAAAATTTATTATATTTACTAAAATATTCTCAGTTTAATTTTATTATTTCAAAACTATTTGTTATCTTTTGTGTTACTATTTTTTCTCGATTGTTTTCATCAACTTATTATAATTGTTCTCCACCTTCAAATTATTTTATAATTTTTATAATTAATATAAATCATAATCATTGTCTTTTTTTTATAAAAAAACTATGTTTCATTATATTCGTTTTTTTCTTTTAATTTTGTTATGTACTCTATCATATTTTCTTTTATATCAAATTGTAAACCATATCATTTTATTTATTTTTGTTTATTCATTTTATTAAATATTTTGAACCATTAATATTTAGTAATAAGTTATTTTATATATTTGTTTTGTTATATGATTCATCATAATTTAAACGATGTTATTGACATATAGTTTAATTTATGTTGGAAAGTTATAAGTTGAATCAATTATACTCAATTTTTTAACTTTATGTGACAAATAAATATTTTTTTAATCACTCAATATTAGAAATTTTATTACCAACAAAAATACGCATGAATTTTTCACATTTTAATATCGTATGACTTATATAAGATCATAAGGATAAAAATGTAAATTATTAATAAAACCCCTCCCCTCCGCTTCTGAACCAAACACATTTTTAATTAAAATCTCTCCCCTCCCCTCCCCTCCTCTCTTTTGAACCAAACACTTATTTGATTAAAAAATTCCTTCACCTCCCCTCCCCTCCCCTCCCCTTCATTAAAATCCCTCCCCTCCCCTCCCCCTCATTTGAACCAAACAGACCCTAAGTCAAAAGTTAACAATTATTAATATTATTTTCAAAATCTGGTATCATGAAGCAGGGGCAAGAGTTTTAATTAAAAATAAATAAAGAGGAAATAAAAGCAAAATTTGGAATATTGACTTGTTTATATAGTAGATGATGAAAACATAGACAAACACATTCAGTGTTTTCTTTCTCTGGTGCGCCATTCAAGAGGAGTTAGTAATTAACTTGGAATTGTCTTGCTGCTCCAATCCTCCCAAATTATAAACCACACCCCCCAACTCTACCAACATAGCATAGCAATTAACAAGTTTCAATGTCTTCTGATATCTATACTTTTGATATTTCTTTCAACCTCCCAAACATAGCCACTTATGATCCTTTCATTCACGTACTTCATGAGGATTTCAACAATTCTCCACACCCTTTTTCTTTCTCTTCCTCAATTACCAATAACCATCTGGTACCACTAACAAATCTTGAAGATTATCATAATAACACACTCATGGATTCCTCGAATTTTCAATGGCAAGAATTGAACTCCTCCGAAAATAGTTTCTTCACCGGACAAATAAGAAGGGCAAGCAGTGCAGGTGATTCTCAAACGGAGGAAGCAAACTTGTTGAAAGTAGGGCGTTACAGTGTAGAAGAAAGAAAACAAAAAATCTCTAAATACAGAGCCAAGAGAAAACAGAGGAAGTTCAACAAGATTATTAAGGTAAATTTATCATTAAAAATGATGTTAATATTAATTAAGTTTTTAAAGATTCCACAGTTTATTTGTTTTTTTTTCTAAATATGTGTGGTTACAGTATGAATGTCGAAAGACACTAGCCGACAATAGAACGCGCATACGTGGCAGATTCGCGCGTAACGACGAAACCAGTGAGATTCCAAAAACTCCATCTTCAAAAATAAAAGAATACGAAGATGAATTATGGGTAATTATGATTTTATAAATTCAATCTTTAAATTTTATTATTTAATTATTAATTTAATATGGTGTTGATATTTCTGAACTTCTTTTATTTAGGTTGATCTGATTGAAGGATTAAATGAAGATCACACAGCATGTTTTTATTTAAGCTGATATGCATGAAGTGATCTAATGGGCATTTCACTAGAGATAACTTTTTTTACGTTGCTCAAAATATTTTAACAGGGGTATCAAATGTCATATAATAAGTAAAAATAAAGATAGTTTTAGTCTAAATTGTATTTAATTTATTTGTGCAATAAAATTGTTTGTATTAAGGTGGATGATGGATAAAATTTTACTGACATTAAAATTAAAGAGCAAATAATTTGCAAAGTTGAATCAACAATTAATAAATCGCAATTTTGACTTGAAACTCTTCCATAATCTAAAGTGATAAACATCAAATATAAATCATATGTTTGCATTGTTTTATAAGTTGTTAAAATAAAAATCAAATATATATATATATATATATATATATATATATATATATATATATATATATATATATATATATATATATATATATATATATATATATATATATATATATATATATATATATATATATATATATATATATAATTCCAAATATTCATTTAATTTAATTTTTTAATTTATTTAGTAACAATAATAATAAGTAATAAAGTTCAAAATTAAAATGATTTAAAGTATGGTTAAAGTTAAAAAAAAATATTTTTCCCTAATTCCATTACTTCATTTCATTTTCTTTATATTATTTAGTAAAAATAAAATTAATTTTCTTTCCATTAACTTCATATACTCATTTAATATTATTTTTTGAATTATTTAGTAAAACCAATAATAATTTATGTATAACTATTGAACACATTAGAAAATGATTATGTAAATTAATTTATGTATAAAAAGCTTTTGAGATTAAATGCACAATTCATTGCTAAAATGTTTTATTGGATGTTTGAATGTCTGATCTCATTCTCAACTTCATTGCTAAACTCAGTATCTATAGCTTTTTGTTTAGCGTTCTCTTTATTTCTTGGTTTTATTTTATGATATGTAATGTAAACATGTAGGTTAATTTATGTATGTAAAACTCTTGAGATTGAATGAGTAATTCAATACTTATGTTTTATGTTTTCTTCGTTGCCCGAATTTCGTTGGTGGTATCATATGCATGAAAAATCGTGATTGGTTCTTAATCTTATTTTTGCGATTCTTGAACCTGAGCTTCTAATTAATAAATCATCAACAAACTATTACTCTATCCGTCTCATAATGATGAGTGATTCATTTAGAATAAATGAGTGTTTTAAAATAAATGACTCATTTTAATTTTCAATGCATTTTTTTTTAATTTTATCCTTTAATTAATATTACTTTTATCATTTTTAATACATATAAGAATACTTTAGTAAAAATATCACTCTCTCTCATTCAATTATTCCTTTTTTTTTAATCTGCGTGAAAAGTAAACTGGATCACTCATTGTAAAACGGAGTGAGTATGATTTACATGTGACTATTCATAAAAAATTATGATGGTGGTACAACACAACATTCTAGAGGTGAATTGATAAATCAATAATTATGATTAATGGATTGACAATAAATAGTTCTTAATCTCAATATAATGATTGTGTTGACAATTTTGTCTGTTTTAATTGTTTCTTGCAAAACAAAAATGAAGTCGGAGGATCGATTTTAGACTCTACCGTGTTTCATTCTTCATGACATTCTGTCAAAACTTCCAGAAGAAAATACTACTAGAAGCAATGCTTTGTCTAAATCTTGAAAAGAGATATTGTCAAACATTTCCTGCAGTATCTTTTTGTGACAATAAAATAGTTGACGAGCTTCCCCAAAGAATGTTTAGATTCTTAACAACTTTTAATGACCAATAATTGGCTATTAATGGATTTAAGTTGAGTATTACCTCTTCGGGTGTTAGTGACTTGCCTAGGTACATTGATCTTTGGTTGAAAATAACGAGTAAATACAATACTTCGTCCATTTCAAATTATAAAACGTTTTGGATATTTCATACCATTTAAGAAATGAAATTATTACTTTATGAAAAATTGAAATGATCTATGACTTTACAAAACTACCTTTCATTAATTATATTGAAAAGCGGACTAAAGGAATAAGAAGAAGAAAGAGAAATAAATAATAAAGGGTATTGATCTGACCTGATCAGAAGAGAATCACTAACCTGCCACGTGTCGTTGATCTGCAAGTTGCTCACCAGAAGTAGGGAGGAGGAGGGGGTGTACCTGCAAGACACTCCGATGCCAAAGTAAGTAATTAACCAGAGTGAGAGCAAATACAGAAAGTAGGTGCGGAGAATGAATACCTGACCCTCTAGTGAAAGAGAATATTTATAGAGAGACCCCAACGCAGGGCCAACGGTCACTTGTGTTGGGCTGGATTTTCAAGCCCAACCTAGGTGACAACTAGGACTTACGTGGCGTAGTGAAGAGCAGCACATGGTCTTCGCCCTAGTTCAACCGTCTTGTGATCTCCGGAAGATGGGTTGACCAGCTCTTTCGGAGGTGGGTAGTTGGCTGATAACGTGTCCCCGCAGAGGGGGCACGTGAAGAACGTGTGGAAGACGTGTTGTTCTACCCGACGGAAGGAACTGTGCCCGACACTGACTGATTTGGGCCTATTTAGGCCTTCCCCAAATGACGTTGAGCTGAGCCTACCCGACGGATGGGCAGACTTGGGCCCAGTCCAGAACAGGTATATTAGGCAAACAAGTCATTAATGTTGTATTGGGATTATAAAGTGACTTATAATTTGGGACAAATATTTTTTGCAAAGTGACTTATAATTTGAAACCTAGGTAGTATTAAATTACTAGAACTTTGTTTCCAGATGGTCTGAGTGGACGACATGTCTTCCATAAAGTTGCAATTGAAAGAAAATCACTTGCTTAGTTGGTGTTGATGGGACGAATCAGAGTTGATAAGGCATCCACAAATCATTTTATTAAGTTTTTCTCATTGAGGGTATTATCACTACAAGATCATGTCCTTTTGAAAGATGGATAGGGAATATATCATTTCATTTCTTGTTGTCCTTTGATTAAAGATATAACTCTGAAGTGTTGTTTAGTGTAGAGCCATCATGGAAACACTTAGGACTTGAAGTCTTTGAGCATGCATGGTTTACTATAGCTAAATATCCTTGATGGTAGATGAATAACGCGTCTTGATTGTTTATGATATAGTCCTGGTAATTTAAATGCGCCATTTAAAATTGATTTTGATAGGTGCAAAAATCCAAAAGAGTTAAAATTAATATCTTTGAAGAGCTTTATCATCACAGACAAATAATTTTTAGAGTTTTCAAAATTTTCATTCCTTGAGAGTTTGAAATTAAACAATCTCAAGATGTTGGAGTTATTTAATTATATAAACTTTAGTGAAGTTAAAATCGAAACTCCAAATATATTATCATGTGGATATTATTTTGATCTCATAACTAAGGAACTCTCATTCAAGCAAAATCATTACTGCTTCTTCGATGTCTTTGAGGGACCTAATTCCTAAACCTCCTTCAAGATTAAGGGTACAAAATTTATGCCAATCCATAATGACAATTTTGTTTATATTTATATCACATGACCTGGTGAAATTCCTTATCTATTTGTCAATCGTATTTAAGATGCTAATGATAGTCTAAGAATTGATAAGGAAAGAGTAAATCATCATGCCTTAAATGACACCTTTGAATCATCATGCCTTGAATGACACCTTTGAAGAGTTCAAATCTTCCAACAAGATAAAGAAGATAAGCCTTCCAAACACTCAATTTGGATTTTACCTTGTTAACAATAGGTTGAAGATAGTTGAGTTTTAGTCTACCTTTAAAAATAGGAGCCCAAAGATAATTAAAAGGGTAAACGAAAAGGTTGATTAGTTTCAACTACGTGCCTCTACCAATCAATTAAAAAACTCTTGTTATCAAGATCTGAACTCAATTGAAGTTGAAAATGCAAGAATTTTGTTGCAAAACTTTAAACATTCAAAACAGAGGAAAATGATTTTTCACTAAATCACAGTGAAAATTATGATCAGAATGATAAATGATGTGATGAGAAGTGATTAAAAAAAATCTTGTATATGTGCTTGAGATTAAGCACACAAAATGGTTGAAAAAGTTAGTTAGATTCGAATCAAGAACAATATATGATTTGAATCAAATGAGCAAGTGTAGTGGAATAAAAAGAAAAACATAATTTTGAAAAACTGCCAATTGATTCAAATTAAGGAAATGGTGATTCAAATTAATTGCCATGTGATTCGAATCATGTGTAAATATTGATTCGAATAAAATGCCACAACCCTGATAATGATTTTTTTAAATGATTCGAATCACGTACAAAGCTTAATGTTAACAATACTCTTTTGAAACGACACCCAATTTTGTTGACGTAACACAAAGAATTTCAAGTAGGGGTAGCCAGTACTTGTAGAATCATGATACACAATCGCTAATCAACAACTGACCAAAATCAAATAAAACAAAAATGAAACATAGTCAACATACATTACCTATTCATTTTCTATGTGTAATCAAATTCAACACCAAAAAAAACATATTCAACAACTTCACTGAATCAAGATGTGTCTAAAAGATATCAGCAACAACATTTGACTCGTCCATGCTTCTAGTCCAGCACATGTATTTTTCTTCATGAATAAGACTCAACAACATTTGCATTTTTGTCAACAAACCTCTCTTGGTCGTATGGCATGCTTGTCTAGCCTTATACACTTGAGTAATACTCATGAGGTTTTCTGGATCTTTGTCTTTCAACACAGAAATTATGTACCTTGGAGGCATATCGTACTTCGTCATGTCATTCACAAACTCTCTTTCAAGATCTTTTAAACAATATAGTATATCATGGTTATCTAAATCCTTAGATAGTTGATGATTATGCAATCCGCACCTAACAATCACCTTCCAACTACCACCACTTGACACAGGTCTCAGCCTAAAAGGACATTTAGTTTTCATACTATAAATGTAATTAGTTTCAGATTTATTCTTCCTTTTGTAGTTTCCACATCTCACAACCCATAATCAATTTTCTTTCCTCCTTCGCATCCCATTTGCGGTATTAGAATGAACAATGACAATACTAATACCACGTTGTTTCCTAATGGATTGTGTCCATGCTAATACTTTAGACTAGGACTAAAATATTTATCATTTACATCATATGAAGACTAAATAATCAATAACATAAAGCCAAAAATACATTTAAATCTAGAACAAGTTGAAAAGAAAACTTATAACATCTATGGTGAAGACAAACTTCTAGCAATCTATAAAAAAAATTGTATCAGAAATTTCGTTTTAACTATTAAAAATTTAGAGTTTTTCAATTCAATGAAAGTGAGAATTTTTGAAGAAAAAAAACACCTTTTTTTTATAAACATAACCAGGAGTATTTTTGAAAATGTAGAAAAACGGGGATGTTAGGTTTAAATGGGGTGGTAGGATAATTTTTATAATAGATTGATCCAAGTGTTAAGATATTTAGGTCACTAAACAAATGGTCAAGAGTTGAATCTACCACTTTTGCATATGGACACAATTTCATTGAATAAGAGAATTCATGTGTTAAACAACAAATAAAGTTGAACTATGATTTGCATAGCAACCATCCCTTTTATTGTTAAATTTGCGGACCGACAGTAACTCTCTATTGTTCAATTAAATTATGAGAATGGGATTGGTATAACTTATTTCAAGGAAAATGTTTGATGAACTCTAGAGAAAAAAAATATGGATAAGTGGATCATGGGATAGAAAATAAAATAAAAATAAAAAATAAAATGGCGAAAGAATATGTTACAACACCTCATGTAAACAAAAGCGATGCATAACATTAACCAGAATTCAGTTATCTTTGAAAATTCGGTATTCATAATATATACAGAGAAGAAACTAGAAAGACATAACCGGAAGAGGATAATGATGGTACAATTACAACAAATCATCTATCTTCTTGCATGTGATGTTGAGGTAGGAAACTTGTGCGGCACAAAGGACATGTTGTATTATAGTATCCCATCCAACGGTCGAGGCAGTGTTTATGGAACAAGTGACGGCAGTTTCTCAGCCGTTGGATCTCGTCCTCCGCCTTGAACTCGTATAGGCAAACGGCACAGCCGTCCTGTGAGCATTCTACCACCGCCAGCTCTAGCTCCGAGAATTTCACCACCGGAAGGATTTCTCTTATGAGCAGCCGCGGATTCATGGATTGAAATTCAGGCGTCGTCTCAGGGAAGGAGAAGTCGGATTCGAAACCAAAATAACAGAAAAAGACAGTAACGAGTTTCCGGATGGAGGCTAATACAGAAAGAAGCTGAATGAACACCTTTGGCAACACAACCTCTGTTGGAAATCCCATTCTCTCGCAGTTTTGGTTCTCTATGAATGTGAAATTAGGAGGAGATTTTTCACATACTCCCTCCATTCCTATATATAAGCAAAAAATTACAATATTTTTTGTTCTTTAATATAAGCAAATTTGACTATATTAATTATATATAATATTATTTTATCAATATTGCCCTTCATTATTCATTAGTTTTTGTTGTTTCGATAACATTAACTATCTATACAATTTTCAATGTCTTTTAGTGGAAAAGCCACTTTAGTGGGTACTGGTAGTAGGATATACCAAAGGTCACATGATTATATATAAAAGTAACTACTCCATCATTTTTTGAAAGAAGCAGAAGAAGAAAAATTTGAGAAACACGTTAGAGAGATAAAAATATGGTGTAGTAAACACCACCAATTAATGCAGATAATTATTATTAGGGTGGCTAATAATTACTATAAATATTTTTTTTAATTAATAGTAAAGGGTATTGCTGTCAATACATAACTAATTTTTAAAGAAGTCAAATAATTCATTGAGTTTTAATGAGGTTTATTGGTATGTGTGAAATGTGAGAAATTTGCTTATATATAGGAATGGAGGGAGTATGTAGTAGAAGATGCTCGAATGATGAACTCATAGGAAAAGACACAGAGAGAGAGTTAGCAGTACGCAGACAATGTCAGATATAATAGCTGCATTGCATTAAATAGATGATTGCAAACTGTGGACTGGAGTTTCAGGTGGAAATTCCAACAACACCCTTTAAAGATTTAATAAGTATTGAATATAACCCTCTCTATTTGGGACATTGCTACTATAGCTTAAAACATCGACACATGGCTTTATTTAAGACCATGCATGTCCCATCTTCATCTCCTTTTCTTTTTACATCACATTCATATGCATTATAGCATGGTGCCGTAGAAAAATGGCAACTCATGCTGAAAATTGACTATTGTTGTTGATTTTATTTCATTAAAATGCAATTCGTAATGGACAATCCGCATTAGGAATTAAAACATCAGCAACAGAATTATCTCACTAACGAAAAAATGTCCCCACCATTTTTCATTTTTTGCAAAGCAGTTGCGTCATTTTAAATATGGTAATGCTATGAGGTACTTTTGGGTTATATGGAGAACACATTAATGTCAAGGGCCCCAAGGAAACTAGCTTGATTTAAATAGTTCCATTACTCATGAGAGTTTGGAGGATGTATCATGTATGTAGATGCAACTAGATATATACATCAACCAATGTAATCTAACGATATAATATTGGCTATCAGTGTCTCTTTGCATTCAGAGCACAATTTAAACACACAACTAACAGATAAATATTTAAAGGAGTTTTAAGTGGAAAGACTAAAACTATAATTAAAGTGGATGTTTTAACCAAAATACTATATTCTTTCATCATACTACCATTCTTTTTCAATTTATTAACCAAAATATTATATTTTTTTTCTATCATACTACCATTCTTTTTCAATTTATTAACCAAAATACTATATATTTTTTTCTACTTATTACTAAATTACACATCTTCAAAGAACTTTTTTTTTACTACAGGCCCGTCCAATGCTTTGGCGGATCTGAATATATTTTTAACTATTTCCTATTTACTTGTAAAAAGTTTTTAGAATTATCGGTAAAATTTCCTGAATTTTTCATGAAATCTTTGAATATATGATTTTTTAAAATAGATTTTTGTTAAAGTTCGTAGGAATATTCGTTGGAAGTTCCGTAGAAATTAGTTTTAAAAAAAATATCTATGAGAAATTTTATAAGAGGAAACTTTTGTAAAAAAATCTGCAAGAAAATAATATTAAATAAAAATAAAAATAAAAATAGGAGGGTCCATCCATTCAATTATCGGGTGCACTTTAAAATAGATCTGTTTTGTTCGAAAAGATGGCATTTTGAGATTTATGGAAAAAAGTATAATAGTTTGATATTTTAAACAGAAAAAAAATGGTAGATTTATAAAAAAATCACCGAAGTGATCAATATTTAAAGGAGTTTTAAGCGGAAAGACTTGTTCGCTTCATTTATTTTCTTTCTAATAGTTGAAGACATATGTGAAATGATTTGACGTATAGAGTTTTTACATTTGTTTGGAAGACTTATAATGGGTGATTATTGATTAACTATTTCGCTTCTACAAAATGCGGATCCTGCAACTAGTTTTAGAAGGGAGTGGAAAAGGTGCTTGAAAAAGGGATTTTTGGATATATGGGTGAATGAAGTAGAACTTGGAGGATGTATTTCTGGATTGTTTTTATTCTCCAATCAACAACTTTTGAATGTTGATTAATTGTAATTCGGTTAATGATAAATGTGTTAGGACGCTCACTTAGAGGATGAAACTTTTTTATTTGGGATAACACGAGTCTACGAGAGGATAAATCGTTCTGGTTGTATGATCTAGTTGGTCATTTCTCTGTTTACTCAAATTATGAGGCTTTGTCAGCTAGATATTCTTTTGAAAGATCAACTAAAACTTATAAAAATATTTATGTCGTTTCCAAGTTGTTTTGACCCTGAAATCATCATAGATAACAAAATATATTTGTGTTTCATGCACAAACTATGAGATAAATTGTAAGTCGTGAGAAAAACAAGCTACAAAGTATGATTAATACTCAGATTACCAAAGAGATTCAACAAATCGATTTTCTTCAATTGTAAAGAGCCAACTACATGGCGAATTTTTACATCCCATTTTCTTTCATTTGCATGCCATATACTATTCTTTGCATCATTCACATTATTGAATAGTCTCTTGAACCTTGAAATTATTGGCAGATACCATACCACTTGTGCAGGAGAACATTGCTTGTTATCATCGGCATCGTTGTCCTTCACCTTGTAGCGGAATCACCATATTTCGGCTATTGATTCAACACAAACCTTTGAGTTGTGTATCAATAAAAGATTAGAAAAAGAAGAACAAAGTTATAACCTTTGTATCCAACACTGAAGAAGTTAGAAGTCAATGTGTCAAAGAAGAGAGCATGACAAATGATATTGCTCTTCTTGGGAAAACTTTCAACAAAACCTTGAAGTATCTAGACAGGAAGTGAATGACCAATGTCCCAGATAAGAGGTCCAACATCATTCAGGACAAAGACAAGAATGAAGAAGAACTTAATGGTGAGAAGGGTGCTCAATGCTTTGACTATAGAGGTTATGGATGCATTATACCAGAATGCCCTAACTTTCTAAGAAAACAGAAAAAAGGATTAACCACCACTTGGTATGATTCTGAAAGTGAAGGTGAATGAGAAAATGTCGACATTGTGATGGTATATTGAAGGAAAAAAACTATTCAAAACATAGTGAAAAACAATTTTTTTTTTCTTTTAGTTAATCCTTAGGAATGATGCATGATCAGTGATAGAACAATTACCTCTTGTGGTGATTAAAAACTTTGATGTAGATCCGAATGAATGGTCATAACCGATGAACGATGATCAACGCCGCTACTCAGTCTACACGAACAAAGTGCCTTCAATCTTAGTGTTGGCTGCTACGAATAAAGACTTTGTGTGTGTGCGTATGTGTGAGAGAGAGAGAGGGAGAGAGAAGAGAGATTACGCCGAAATTTCAAAAACCTAATTTCATCAAGTGTTTTAACTTTTACACAAGGCCTCTATTTATAAAACCACTTATGTGGACAATAAATTTAAAAAGGCCAACAAACACGTTAATAATAATAATAATAATAATAATAATAATAATAATAATAATAATAATAATAATAATAATAATTATTATTATTATTATTATTATTATTATTATTATTATTATTATTATTATAATAAGGTGTTCTATATTCCACTTAAATACATCATATTTTATGGTGTTTCATAATTATTTCAAATTGGACTTTAGAGTGTTTCTTATTTATTCTATCTCTCATTAATCTCTGCTTATGTGTGTGATCCTGTAAGTTTTTGTGACACTGATAATTATATTAAATCAAACATTTAATATAAAAAGTAGAAGTAGTGGTATCTAATAACATATCACTGCTAGCAAAGTCACGAAAATGTCCTATGATATGATAAAACATTTTCATATGAAAGATTTGAAAATCTTCTTAAAATAATTTTGGGGCGGGTTGTAACCCGTAATTTCGAAGGAATTTATCTTTACCAATAAAAATATGTGTTAAAATTTATTGAAAAATCAAGTTTGTTAGGGGTCAGTGTGCTGACTTTTGAATGGAAAAACACAATAAGATAGCGTTGACTTTCGTTACACCATTTCAATATCTAAAACCCTAGCAAAAATTTATATGAGGATTGATTTATTTCTATGACTTGACCCAATCATGTTTATTTTGTATACATTTGTAACTTTTAAGTCTATATATGATTTTTATATTGAAATTTACCGTTCAATCTATTTTTGCGTAAATTTATCTAACTATAAATCACTATATTTTGAACTCACTTCTAGTCAATTTTACATAATCAAAATCTATTTTCTTCACTGGATAACCAAACAAGCCTAACAAATTGATTACTCCCATAATGCAAGAAGAGAGATATAGAAAGAATAAAGGGTATGAGTGAGATGGAAATGTTGGAAAGTAGAACAAAAAGAGAAAGAGAAGGCGTGGCAACAGTGCAAGGCCAACCAAGACACGGGGCACATATGTATGCACTGTCTTTAGTTTGGCCACCTCCAACCAGGCATCAGAAAACGGTAATAACCCTATTGACAGTCTCCTCTGACACACTGTCTGATGAAGCCAAGACACTATTTGGTCTACATCCATTGTTCCTCCTATCACTAAAATTAAATACTTTCTTCCTTTCACCATTACCTATATAACTCCATACTCACTTAGTCCCCACTCATCTTTCTTTTTGTCTCATTCTTTGTCTAATCTCAGTGACTTCAATCCCTACCCGAATCACACACAACATCACGTTTTACACCTACACTTTCATGTTTTGTTTGTTTTGTATCATGGATCTCTCATTATACTATGCATGTGTCTGTGTTTCT